TCAGCAAAGACATCACTTATCTGTGTTACTAATTTGATAGCAGACCCATAGAGCTGCCTCCAGTGCACTCCAACTGACGGCCATGCAGAGACTCGGCACCCATACAAGCACACTCTAGCCTCTGCTTGCTTGCCAGAGGAAGAGTGCCTGTCCTTTTGTGCTTGACCCATTGGCCTTCATCTAGCCCAGCTGCTTTTACTGAAAAATAGAAAACTGATGTTGGACAGGCAAATCTAGTGCTCACACAGCCCCAGTCTGTCGCTCAGAAAAGGCAGGTGAGATGTGTAGCTAGCCCTTTTTTAGATGATAAGCAGAAAGAATACAAATGATAAAATGCATGTCTAAGGGAATTCAAAACCTGCCCAAAAGGTGCAGGAAAGGTGAGAACAGCATGGTTTTGCTCTTCCCACCAGCACCATTTTTCCTCTCCACTGTTTATGATTATTTACTAATTTCTATCAGCTGCGGGAGAATTTGGGGCAATATCCCTGAAAGGGCTGGTATCTTGGTTCTGTTTATCAGATTTCAGCTTGGCTTCCCTTTGCTCCTCTTTTTATTTTTCCTCGCCAATATTTATTTGAAAAAGTGTTTTGGCAGGATTTACAATCCACAAAACCCCATGGACCTGGAGAGAAAAAAATAATCTCAGGTGCTACTTAAGAAATTCCTCCTTTCTAAACCTCAGTGGATTAAAGTTTCTGCCTTAATGATCTGTGTGAGAGCTTTTGTGTAAAACTTCAAATAACTTTATTGATTACATTCTGTATAGTATGAGTCTGGACCCCTATTTGTATTTTCCTTTTCTAAGAAAGGTTTCTATAAAGACATACAGTACCAGAATGGATTAGTGCATTAGCCCTTGTCTTTGCAGACTTACTTGCAATCCAGACAGGATTTGGATGAAGAGAGTCTTACCAGACAGGATCATGCTTCTCAATGGAAAAAATTTCCATACTGAAAAATGGAAAACATAACATTTAGCACAATTAAGTCTATTTGATAGCTTTGTCTGTGCTGAGGAGCAGGGGTGGCTGCAGAAACAGCACCACCGGTCAGCACTGAGGTGCTTCAACAAAGCTGTCTCAGAACTAGGGTAGCTTTTATAAAGAGCTTTCTCAGAAGTAGAGGAAAGAAAGAACTTTGGTAAAGCTGAATGAGAGACTCCAGCTGGCATAACAGAACTTATAGGTGAAAAATGAAGTTTACTGGCAGAATGCTTGGGTCTGACTGAAACAGAAGCACAGTGCCACAATTTCCTCTTTCCTCTGACAATGTCTCCATAACCATTTTCTTCCTGATGTCTCCCAGCACAAGGCTCTTTCACATAGCAAATAGATGAAAATGGGCATGGAAGTTTTAGTTTTAAAATAACCTACAGGTCCTTCACTCTGTTTTTAGAAAGGAAACAGAACTTCTGCCTAAACGCAGACTCCCCACCCTCTCTTTCTACCCTCCCTTGTCCTTTCCACCTGTTTAGATGTTTTCACAGTAGGATAACACATTCATTCCCTCCTGACTAGGGCTCAGCTGTTAGGAATGGAAAATAAAACCGAAGTTTGCAGAGTATTTTTAGCCCAGAGAAAATAAAGTGGTTGCAAATACTGTACACCCCCCAGCTCCTCCGGCTTGCGGAGATCCATGCCCAGAAAGAAAGGAAACCGCAAGACCAGGCTGAACCCTTTGATTTGGTATCAGTGCCAAGTATTCTGGAGTGACTCACCCAACAATCCCACCCTTCTTTTTCTGTCTGTTTAAACGTGCCCTCCCCAGGAGTCACATCATCTGGTCTTTCCCATCTTTGTGGCACTGATGCTTTCACTACCATATATGCACTTAGCTGGACTCAGCCCATTACTCTCATCCCTTTGTATGAGATAATCTGTTGATGACTGGCTAATCAGTAGGTTGCAGATGGGTCTCCCATTTCCCTCTGATCTCACAAGTCTCAAGGGACTAGCCTTCTGAGAAGAGACAGTGCGTAAGGGGATACAACACTAAACAGATGACACATATTTTAGATTCACCTAATGGCTGCTCCTGGTTTCCAGACTCCCCACATGCCATTTGTTTTTAACAAATGGCCACACAAGCTGTGGAGATGATATTTTAGAAATGTCTTTGAAAGGCTGACTTACCTCTAATGGCATTTGCAGCATGTGTGCCCCTGACAGTAGTCGTCTGTGCTGTCAAGCTGCTCCCACTGCAGGTAAAAATCAAGTATTTTGAAAAAGAAATCATAAACTGACAAACAAAATGGGTTTAGATAAAATGCATCCTGAATGGGAGAAGTGGTTTAAGAGACGAGGAAGATTTAGATCTCACTAGCAGCTATGGTTGGGTCTATGCACCCTTGGACTGTGAACTGTTAAGGAGGCCTTGCTTCACTGTTAGCAAAACAGTGATTTCTTCATTGCTGAATTGACTGCAGTATCTTGTATGCAAGAGCAACACAGGATGTGGCAAAATTGTCAACAAAACTGCCAAAAGGCAGTTGTAAATCCTGAAATATCCTTTATGTAAATTATTCTGATTTTCTGTTTCTGTCCCAGCAAAATCTGAAGATTTTGTACCACTGTCTAGAACAGTCGCCACTGCACATCTCTGACAGCCCCTCTGTAGAGCACCAAAAGGCAGCCTGGATCAGCCCTACAGGCTGTACACAGGGGTCATATTTTTAATATGAAACAAAATAGGATAGGGCTAGTTCTCCCGCACTTATGCCAGTGGGCTCAGCACAGTTCTCACCCATCCTTTTTTTTACCTTCCAACACAGAGAAGGATTTCCATACCCACATATTGTCTGGGAGGGCAGAGTTGGCCCAGAGAGAACCAGCACCATGGTAGCAATGTAAACAGTACATATAACCAGGTACCAGGGTTTAGCCCTGTGTTATGGGTACAGGCGCTGGTATTACTGAGCCTGAGGTGTGCTGGACCCATTGAACACACCAGAACACTGGAGCAGTGCATGAATACTAGGTCTCACAAGAACTGTACTTATTATGAAGGCATCACAAACAGCTCAGACATATACCTAGGGTGTGAGGCACTGGAACATGTTGCCCAAAGAAGTGGTAAATGCTCCGTCCCTGGCAGTGGTCAAGGCTCGGTTGGACAGAGCCTTGCGTGACATGGCCTAGTGTGAGGTGTCTCTGCCCATGGCAGGGGGTTTGAACTGGATAGTCTTGAGGTCCTTTCTAACCCAAACCTTACTATGATTCTATACTTCTGTCCAAGAAATCCTGGAAAGAAATATGGCAACTCCTTTGGGAACCGTTGAACTCTCCTCCTCCATCTCCATTTAGTTAGTCATCATCATCATCATGCTGTTATGGGCTCTTTTAGTTGTAGGAGTATTCCCAACTGACTTCCTTAAAAAGCACTTTCTATTTAAAACTGAAAAGCAGCTGCTGATAATGCTGCCTTAAGCTGGCCATTTTGCTTCTTGCTTCTATAGGTTCCACATTTTTGCTATCCAGCCAGCACAATAAGCATTTCAGCTTCGATTGTCTGGGATTTCCAGAAATGCTCAGTACTGACCTCACTGTGACAAACACTAAGTGTGGGGATGGGGGTTTATTCTTTTTATTCTTGAAAAGGTGGAGCATCCACAAATAAAAGATCATCTGCAAAGTTAAGGCCAGCACAGTTATTCCAGTAGCTGGCACACTACTACATGAATGCTGACTATTTACAGCAGATGTAATCCAAGTTTATCTTCTATGAAAACTTTAGCACATTATTTCTGGAAGTTCAAGTTATAACTGCAATGATTTGCAAGTAATTCAAGAAAACAGTTCTATTAATCCATCCAGTTTTGGGGTGTTGAAGGAAAAATATATTTCTGAAGCTTTCAGTCCTTGTGCAGGGAAGTGAGTAACATGCTGGGAATTATCTATTAGCAAATGTTTTAACCCTTGCCACTGCTGGCAATATTGTTGATAATATACAGCATAAATTCATTGGGAATTAGGCTTTTTTGTTTTAGTGAGCCTCAGGGGAGGCACCCCCACCAAGCTGACCAGATTTACCCAGCTTGGATCCAAGGGTGTCAGAAAACCCCACCCAGACAACTGTTTTAGGACTGCTGGCCTCTTCCCGGAACTTACCAGTGGAAAAAAAGAAATCAAAAATGAAATCATTAAAACATGAGCCAGACTTCTGACTTTATCAAAAGGTATCTTTTAATTTTAAGCAAGGGTATTCTAAAACATTGGCGCTTAGTCGTCTTTTTCCAATTCTGTGAAACCAGGGGGGACAGTATCCACTGAAGACTATGCTACAGCAAATTCAAGCACACAAGCTTAAAACAAGTACTGGTTTTCTCTTTTCAGTCTCCAGGGAGGCCAATAAGAATTCACAGACCTCAACTGAATCTACCAACCATAGCAAAAAATACCTAACCTAAAGTAACATTAGCAAAAGTCAGCCTACAGGTCTTGAGAGAGGAAAGCACAAGTTTCTTCAAAAGTGGCTTTTTTCCCAGTGCTCTTTCTAAACAGTCTCAAAAAACCTTTTGGTATAATTTCCTGTAATTTGCAGGATTGGGGGTGGGGAATGAGCATTCTAGTAAAGACACACATAGGCAAAGCTCTTTATTCATACTCTACTTCCACTGACATTATTATAAAACCCACAGTGACTATGACAGGACCAGACTTCAGCAGACAAGTGCTTCTGAGGAGTCCAGTATTTATGTCAGGAAAACTGGAAAAGCTGTAAATTTTGTAACTTATGACAGGATGCTGGCTGGAGCTCAGACGTTAGTATTTCTGTTACACAACATGAGGATGCACTTCATGGAGGAACATGAGAGATCTCCATACATCTACTCAGCAAGACGTGCACTTAAATACTTACTTACAGCTGCTAGAAATCTTATTTTCCAAGAGCTCTCAAAAGAAGTTTAAGGGCTACTCAGCCGTGACTTGGATGTCAGAAATGGTATTTGGAGGAATCTCAGTTGTTCTCTGACAGAGAACAGATTTTTATTGACTTACCCCAGATAGACAGTTGAATCAGATGACTGCAATTGGATTTCTGCTTTCTTGGAAGCTGGGAATTTGCCTTGGCTTGCAGTAACAGCTTCTGGGTACCTGATCCCACATGCAAGCAGGTAAATAATTGACAGATGGTTTTCTTTATGCAGCTAAGTAATAACTTTCAACATTGTCAGGAGAGATTAGAAAGCAGGAGGAAAATGCATTGAAGAAAGTTTGGGCTTAAGCTGCTGTGCTGTTGTTACCCAGCATCCCTGCCAGGCTAACTGCAGCAGGCGGATTCCATGGGTGCCTAAAGGTGCTTGTTATAGAGGGTGTTTACAGGTGTCCCATTATCAAGTACTGATATAAAATACTACCACGGAAAATCGTGTTTAATAAGCTCCAGCTGCCTGTTAAATTAAAACAAAATTCCTGCAGCAAATAGTCAATTCGAAAAACAAGCAGTAGTAGGTCTAAAACAAAGGAGCCGAGCATGAAAAGAACCTTGACTGAATCAAGCTGCATTTTGGAAAGTATATCAAATGGATGTTTTCCTGGTTTTGCTTTTAGGCAGATACTTGCTCCTGCCAGCACAAGTAGCTGCTGAGACTACAGCCTATCTTCTTTTGCCTTTGTGTTCCTACATATACCCTTAGACTTTGTTTCTGTGAGATCATAGGCTATACCATGAGGCTGGCTTATAAAACTCAGTAGTCTGCAGAGGTGTAATAATGTGTTTTAGCTGAAAACAGAACTTGAAACAGAGACACAAACAAACAGCAAGGCCTGGCAGCCTCTTTCCCCTCCCACTCCCAAGAGCTGGTTGTCCTGCTTCCCCTCCCAATTTTCTGTTGGCTCAGTGCCTCCCCAGCTGGCAAAAAAAAAAAAAACAAACTGGGGCAATTAACCCTTTCTTCCGAAGCCCAAATGCTAACAAGACCTAAATGGCTTTCCTCCATGGAACAAAAGAATGTAGATCACCAGGGCTGTGCACTGCCCCATCACTCTGCAGCAGGAACCCATGTCTTTCTCCTTTGCTTGCACAGCACCTACCTCAGCAACCCATGCTCCTTCGAAGTGCTAGCTCTCCTTCAATAGAATAAAACAGAAAAATAAATCCACCCTACATGACCTGAACAGCTCTTAACTTTCACCTCATCACCTCAATCCAGATTTCCCTTCCAACCAATCTACAAGCTGATTTTCTCATTCATTTAAGGAAGACCCAAAGGGACTGTCAGTTGTAGAAAAGGGCAGAGAAACCATCAATGGCTTTAAGTGAACTGGTTTGGGTACCAAAAGCAGAAAAGCTCTCTATTGGATAATTCACTGTTGTTGTTTCCTGCCTAAAGGAAATAGAATCTGCCTTTTCAGGAGGTCTGCCACATCTGAGGCCACCATAAGCCCAGACTTCATTTGTTTTATGACAAAATTCTAGCAAGTGCTGCCCATAGATAGTGAGCTTTCTCAAAATGCTTTCCCAGGGCAGGATAGGATATTTGCCAATGCACTTTCATTTCCATTATTTTCCATGATTGCATAGAAGATTTTATGTACTAGAGGTGTGTTTAGTTTAGGGGGCCAGTACTGTTCAGAAAGGATGCTGGGACATTGTTCCACATCTGAGACAAAGGCTTTTCATTATTCCCATAGAATCCATTGCAGTAACAGATTTGCATCTTCCATCAAAGGTGACTAACTTTGTTTTACTACAGCTGTACACCAGAAAATCACAGCAATGAAGAGTGAATGCAATTTCCACCCTATGAACACAGCTTTTTTGTTGTTCATAACTCAATCAAAATTTACTGGATCAAAAGTGTGCATCCTGTTAATTGTCAAATATCAGGAAAACTGGCATAGATTACTTATGCTTCAAAAAACAACAAGCAAATGCATAATCGTGCCTTAGATACCAACACAAACAGTGCATGTTTATTGTAATGGTTGGACACACTGGCAATATATTTTGAGTTACTAGTGAAACGTAAAAGGCAGATTAAGCATGCAGAAAACTGGTTTAGTAGCTTTGAAGTTGTGACAATAACCATTTTCATACACAGTAAAAATTTCCATTACGTTTCTTGGCTTGGTCTAAGTTCAGGAGGCTGGATGTTGCATACTTGGTAGAACTTGCTAATCAGTTTTTTCTCTTTTATCTGAAGTACTTTTCACTTTGGGGGCAATTGTGAAGCAAAATAGAAACAAAGAACAGCACACTACTGACATTTAAGGTAGTCAGGAGCAGTGTACTCTTGGAGGCAAAATTATCCTGGGCCATGGGCAGAGCTGCTTTTTTTTTGTTTTCACCAAGGCTTAATAATACTTTGCAACAGTTACTTATGACTTCATAAGTTTGTTAAGTCTGTTACCTCTCAAGGTGACCTTCTCATCATCAAATCCAACCTGCCAGGAATTTTAGCTATTTGCTGAATCTGTGTAATATGCTCCATCTAATCATCTTTCAGAAGATTTCACTAAAAATTTCCTATGCCATTTAGTAGCTTTACATCTTCTCCCGTTTTTCACCTGCCAGCAGGAAGGCAACTGGGACCAGCAGCATTGGTGAAGCTCTGCTGTTGGGACTAAAAAGACCCTTTCCAGACTGCATATGGTCAAGGGGGCCATGGACTACATTTGTCAACATTCTTTTTCTTTTTGTTGTTGTCATTGCTTACTTTCACAGTTTGCAAATTGATAGAGCTGAGGGCTTCCAGAAACTTGTCCTAAACTGTGTCCCTCCAACTTGCTTCTTAGTCCTGACTCCTGCTCTATATTTTCCTTTAGGAGTTAGTCATTCCCTTCCAGCCAAGATGGTGAAAACAGGTAGACCTTCAAGCACCTTTCCCTTTCTAGGGGTAGGAGAGAAAGAGTGCAAAACCCCATTGGCAGCAGCACATGACCTCTCAAATCTTCTGGGATGAGAATCTTCTTCCACGTGATGGGACAGCTGATGAGGTTGACAGAAGCAGAAGCAGTACCACCCAAACAGATGAGTCCATGGACCTCATGCTCCTTTGCCAGGTTTGATAGCAGAATAGCTCAAAAGACCCCACATTCCACCTACCCAGACAGTATGGCCAAAGGGCAGGTCAGACTGAGATAGTTCATTCCCTTCTCCTTGATCTTTCTGTTTTCCTTGATCTTCAAGGCTTCACAGGAAGCCTTTGAAGCAGTGCGTATAAGGGCAAGAGCTGCTGTGTTAAGTTTATATTCTCACAAATTACATCCATCTTTTGCTCAGCTCAAGATGTTCTGTTGAACAATAAATGCAGATCCCAAAGACTCATTAAGGCTCTTTTCTCCAAGCACCATGTTGGAGTACATCCAGATTTTCAGAGGCTGGACATCATTTAGCCAATCTGTATCCTCTAGAGCATCTCAGAGGCAGACATTTAGCCTGTTATCCTTAATATTCCTTGAAGATTTCAAACATATGGCTTCTGACCATTTTTCAATTGTGCGTCAGATTTAGTCTGCATAAAAAAAAACAAATTATTCGTTTCTCAAGGAAAATATGATACAATACTATTTGCCCTCCCAGAGCTGTTTCATATTTCTTTGAACTCTTTGGTTAAAAGTATGAGAAATAGACTGTAAAGGAGCAGGACTACATTTGATTTCCATTCATCTGCAAGGGTATATTTCAAAAGTTGGGTAGCATTTTCTAACAAATAGTAGAACAAACTTATATTGCTTTTTGTGTTCATTTTAAGAATTTATTACAAGTGCCAAGTGATAATTTGAACACAGATTACACCACTAGCATCAGAAAGGAAGTTCAAATGTCTGGGTGGGAGATTTTGAAGGATAATTCTGATTTATAATATGTGATTTATAAATTGTGATTTAGAAATCTGTGATTTATAATCTGCAGCTATCCTTTCATTGTGTACTTTGTTTTGCCCCGTTATCTTCATCCTTTTCAGTTTGAATATAATACAAGTAACGAAGCCATTTTTTTATTTGCAAAATTTGCTGGAAATCTCCAAGTTAAGTGGAAACAGCATTATGGGACTCTTGGAGAATTATGACATTAGATTTTCCGACCTCATGTAATAGATGTACTAAATTAACTTGAAAGAGGACTTGCAAAGATATTTCCCAATTGCTCATTTTTTATGAGAGCTGCTTATATTAGGGGTCTTACAATGCTTATTTTATTATCTCCATTTTTTTGTAACCACTTTCAGCTGGGATTCCGTTTAGGACCTTGATCATTCTCAGTTTGTATGGCAGAATGAAAAGAAAATATGGTCCCAAGAAAGAAAATGATTCAGTAAAAGAAAACTCGTTTGGATGGACCATAGAATGACAGATCTTGCCATTAAGTTTGTATTTGGACAAGATGTTACTACCTGAAAATCATTGCCACTTGATGAGAGACCTGTGAGCCATAGATTAATGTATCAAGTCCAACTCCTACAAGACAAATAGCCTCAAGATTTCCACTGTTAATGACCACACTGGTTTAAGCAGATGGAAGATAACTCTTCCATGTACAATAGTAGCTTCAGTTATTTTGAACAGCATCAGCTTGGTCTAAGAGATTGACAGCCATCTTCTGTTTCGCAATGGGGACTGCAGGGGAGAGGATAGTCAACACCAGTCTGCACAAAAAAATTATAGTTGGTAAATATTGGCATGAACGTTGCTCAGAGAACAAATTCTCAGGTTCAGCTGGGGACATCTACTGTGTTCCTGGGTCTGCCATCCTGTTCAACAAGACTCCCATCCTGCAAGCATGCTGACCTCAATGGAGATGACGCTATTTAGAGTTCTATGTCATGGTCTACGGCAGGACAGCCTCCTTCTGTTTATTTCACAGTTTAGATCAGCATAAGCTGACTATGAATCCCCACCTTCAGGTGCAGGGAGGTTGCTGAGTCTTTACAAGATGCTTCAGATTGCAGTGCTAGAGATCTGGCAGCTCTCACCAGCCCAAAGTCACTTGCAAATCATATGATTGGGCACTGCATTAAGTATTTGGCTTTCAGTTAGCAATAGTATGGACAGAGTTCTCGCTGTGCTGAGTTTCAATTTTGCGCTGTTTCCCTGTGACCCTTGAAACTGGACGTGCACCAGCCCACCAGCCTAGTGGAGAGACTGAATTTTACCCTGTGCTTGAGCTCCTCACTGCCTGCTCATTTCTCAGTCAACCAAAAGACTGTTCCTGAGGGATAGAAGAGGCTCCTTAAAAGATTTAATAGCCTAGAGAGAGGATCATTGTAGCAGAGCTCACCTACCCCTTCATCTGACCTGCAGTAACTGGGGTAAGGTGGGAAGAGAGAGGCAGAGGCTGGGACCACAGTGTTTCCCTGTGCTGACTCACAGAAAAGCAGCTCCTTGCAGGCCAGCCCCAGCCTCTCCACCACCTAAGGAACACAGGAGGGAACCCAGCCCCTTCATGCCCATTGCGCACATGCTAAATAAAACAGCAACTTGTGACATGAAACTTGTCTCCCTGAATGATTGTGTTTGGATGTATTAACACAGCACTGGCTAGAGTGCAACTGCTGCCAAGCCATCGCCCTCCCCTTCCACCATTCAGCCTCCAACAAAACTAATGTTAGTGCTGTTGTAAGTAGGATATCTTAATGCAGCACACACATAGACAGGATCCCTTT